ACTGGGAAAAGCAAAGAGAAAATGTTGGCTTATTGATTTAGTATTGATTTTGGTTGGACACATTGTCACTGTTCTATTTCTGCCATTTATTGAGCAAAATCCCTCTTATAGACTATATAGGCAAATCAGTAAGGAGACAATGGATCAGTCATCCACTTGGGCATTTCTAGCCTTAACTTGTCAAGCTAGTATCTGGACTAAAAGATGGATATTTTTATAGAAAGTTGTTATTACAGTAAGTTCAGCCACCACCACCCCACTCCTGCCAAGTTCTGGTTCATGACAGGTTAGATCCGGCATGGCTGGAAAGAGTTGGCAGCCCAGCACAGGCAGATGGGCACAGACTGCCCATTCTGGTGTGCTGCACCTTCCCCGGCTGTGCCTTGGAAATGTGCTGTGGGAAGGTTCTGCTTGAACCTCTTTGATCCTCGGTTCCCTCAGCTGCAAAGGGAAGAGTATCCTATTCACCTTAGGAGTGGTGATAATTAAAGGCCATATGCCAAAGGGCTTCACTCCCCACATACTAAGCCATCAGTAGGCCTTTATAAATTACCTGCTGTGTGCAGGGCCCCAATCTGGATGCTGTGGGTATACCTTTCCCTTGAGCCACCAGGACCCAGGAGGGAGTTTGTACTGACAACATAATTAGGTTAAATGAAATTAAATAGGCTACTTCAGAGACACCTGCTTTTCCCCAGACCAGAATATTATAATAGCATCACATTTCTAACAGATTACAATTTCAGGGATGATATACCTAGAGGGAACATACAGATAAACTTTTCTTTCTTTCTTTCTTCTTCTTTTTTTTTTTTTTTTTTTAAGTGGAGGTACCACACAGAGCCCTACATTGTAATAAATGAAGCCCTCCTGGACTGATAACAGTTAGACAGCAGGAGCCTTGAATTTCTTTTTCCTCTTCTGAGAGCCAAGTCTCCTATATTTATAGCCTCTCCTTGGATAGGAGTTAGGATTCTTTTAGGTCACAAGGCTACTAACTGGGGCGCAACCTAAATATCTCATAGCAGATTCCAAAGGCTTTGGAACATTTACATATATTAATTTTTTAATACTAGGATGGAAAATACAAGTCATTTTGTCATTTACCTGTATATGCAACTGATAAGACTGCAACTACACTGAATGTATCATGTAGCAGGGGCAGCAGACATTTTGCCAAATGACTACAAAGGATAACATGAGGCAGGTGCATATGGGGGAGTGGACGGAAAAGGAATGAGAAGTAATGAGACATTAGCTACAAATCACTGACCATAATCCAATTTGTTCCTTTGTAATCACATCTTCTACTGACTATATTTGCAGTATTTGGCAAAGGCAAAAAAAGGGGGAGGAGGGCAAAAGACGGATGATAAATTCCCTCTCTTTATTGGGTAGACAATTTATAAGGCCTATAAATCTTCCCAAAGAGTCAAAGGAGCATTTAATGGACCAAGTACATTATTAAAATAGCATATAATCGAAAAATATAAATCTGAACTACCTGAATGTATTTTATGGGAGTCAGGTGATTCTCAAAAATAAAGATATTTGTGAAAAGATGCTTTATGTCTCTGCCTGCTCAGAAATTTTATAATATAATTTCCCTTGGCTTTAAAGGAGATAAGGTTGTTTCAGGAAGGCTTTTGCAAAGTAATGAAATTATTATTTAAGTGGATGAAACTAAAACCTAAATTGAATATCCATATTTAGTATGACAAGAGAATTTTAGAATACTGAGTCAATGTTTTATTACTGGTGTACAACCAGGACAGCCAGATATAGATATGCCCTTCAATTTGGCCTATCAGAGCTGTCTACAAAGAGTTACTTTCCATTGTCTAAATCTGTCCTGAGGTGAAACAAGACTTAAAATAGATACCAAAATTTCTGACAAACTGCACTTTAAAAATGACACCGGACATAGGGCTTCACTAAGGTATACCACTACAGTGATGTGGTAAGCAATGAATGTCTTAGAAGGCAACCTGAATTGATGGGTCATACCACAGTTAGTTAGGATTTCTTTTCCCTTCATTCATCTGAGTCTTCCACTGACTTCCAATGCCCAAATTCTTTTATAGTTATGATTTATGATATATAAAATTCTTTTATAGTTATGAAAAAGCCTGACTTTTTCAGGCCAAAGATGACTGTTCAGTAAATTGTACTTTCAGTTCAAGAAACAAGGATTTCCCAAACTCCTACTCACTCACAACCTCTCTGCTGCTCATGGAGAATATGTGATTGGTCCCTTGTCACACAGTCTCCTCTCCTCTGCTTCCTTTCTCTTGGCTACTGTTCTTAAGCCTGTCCCTTCTCTATTTTCCTCTGTCTCAAAATTTATGAGGGTAGTATTGAAACCTCACTGCCTCTAATTCATCAAGGCCTTCCATTCCTCACCAGCTGTAATTTGGTTTCTATTACCCTCTTCTCTGCAGTCCTCATTCTCCAAATGTAGTCCCAGATCAGCCACATTAGCATCACTTAGGATCTTGATAGTGGTGCAAAATATTGTGCCTCATCTCAGAAACTCGTGGAATGGGCTAGATAAGCTGAGTACCAAAAAACCCTGAAGATAATCCTGAGGTCCACTCAACTTTGAGAACCATCTCTCATGGAGACTGCTATCATGGCAGTTATCACTAAGTTCTAAATATTAAAAATCGATTCTTATCTCTCAGCCTCCATCAGAAGTTGAAGAACACCCATTATTATGGGAACTCTTTCCTGGTCCCTTTGACATTGTCGTCCCTTAGGTTGCCTCCTTTTTAAATTATTATTTTTCATCTTCCTTCCATCTCTTCCTGCCTTCTTAATGAGATTTTCCAAGGACTTGCCATTGGCGTTCTTTTTGCATTTTAGTCCTTCCCTGGGGAACTCTATCCACTCCTCTTGCTCAAGTCATGACTTCTATACTTCAGACTCCCAAATTGGATTCTCTAGACTTGTTCTCAATTGCTTTGCCATCAATAGCCTTGTTTTTCTCAATTGCTTTGCCATCATTTCCAGAGGGCCTCAGGACACCTATGTGTCAAAGATCTACTGTGAGTTATAATACAGGATTATTAAAACCAAAATCATCTTTCTCACCATAGCCATGTCTCTTCTGAATTTCCACTCTCCTTTTACCTTCAACATTTTTCCAATTCCTTAGATATGGAAACCTCTTTCTCTCCCCCCTCTTTCAATTTCCAAATACTTGCTAAGTCTTTTTCCTATAATTTCACAATCTTTCTCATACATTTTGCCTTTTTGCTCTGTAGATTATTTTTCATCTATCCAGGGAGAACTGTAATCTGAACATTCTTTGGAGTAAAAACTGAAGGGACAGAGAGATTATGGCTTATTTTAAGGAAGAATTTCCTAAAAGTCAGGTATCCACAGTTGTGTTCTGAAATTCCCTATCTCACAGATGTTCAAACATGAGCTGGTTGACCATTTAGCAGAGGTTCAGGTATCTGCTGAATGGCTGAACTTGATGACATTTGATGTCCAATCCAAGTTTGAGATTTATGGTTCCTTTTACCACCATTTTCTTTCAAGCCCTCATTGCTCACCCCTCCTCCATAGTGAGGACAAATGTTTCAGTTCCAAGTCTGTGTCTGACACTTCAGGCACACTGGTTTTTCTATGCTTTTCTTTGTGACCTCCTTTTTCCTCATTCAAATCTTCTCACATGTGTAGAGATTCATTTGCCCATTCACCCCACCTATTATGTGCTAGGTACCGGAAATATAGAATTGGATAAGCCATCCTTGCCTTTACATACCATCCAGGTGGAGAGGTGGACATCAATACCATAGATTAGAGGACAGGTCTAGCAATCTTGTGTTTTAATAAGCCCTCCAGGTTATTCTGATGCTAGTTAAAGTTTGAAAACTATAGAGGACTACTGATATAGGCTAATGTGTTATCTTAGGATTTTATAGAGGGTCATTATATGACAAGGGACTAATCTAAATCATTGGTGATTTAGATCATGGTGAATCCAAATGCCATGGTTACAGTCTAAGCAAAGAGCACTGCTAAGTAAAGATATTGCACAGGGAAATTTTGGAAAACACATCTTGGTTTCTTTGAATGTCAATTCTTATATCATACTTTATTGAGTGTACATGTATTTGAGTAAACCCACTAGAATATGTCAATTACTCTTATATTCTGCACAGCACATAAACAGAGCAAACCTGAATCTTAATTCTCACAGAACTGAAAAAAAGGATTTTCAGAGAAATGCAATGGTCTCCAAATTTAACCATTAGCTCAGCTTAGGGTAAATGATCACATAAGACCAATTAAAATTTTAAAATTAGATTTCCAGTGATCACAATAGAATAGAATTATAGGACATCATTGAAGCTTCCCCCTTGTTCCCTAACGTCTCAAAAAATTAAGAAACAAACTTTAGAAAGATACATAGTACATTAAAGGCAATCATTAGCCAGTAGAATTTTGGGTGGGTCGGGGAGGCTAAAAGAAAAAAAAAAGGTAGGAAGGGCTTCTGATAAGGTAATATATCTGCATACTTTATTAACAAAATATTACTAACATAGGAGGGCCACACCCATGGGGGGTGGGCTAGACAGCTATCAGCTTTTTGAGATGTTGATTATATATACTTCAAGTTTTCAAGTTACTTATGGTGGAGGGTGGGATTGTGTAGAAAAAAATAACTTTCAGACCAAAGATGTGCTGAACATCTGGGTTTTTTGGTAATTTATCTAATAGAATAGGCTAAAGACAAAAACAGCCCCAACACAACTGCAGATAAATTCTGTCCTTCCAAGTGTGGAGAAATCATAGGAAAGATTCTGAGAGAAACATTTCCATCTTGCTTTTTTCTTTTCAGGCTAACCTGAAATAGCGATTTTTGGATTGCCCATGGCAACCACTTTTCCCATGGGACAAAGGCCCATCCTCCCCTGCTGTATTCCTTGTCATTGTTGGAACAAACAGGCCAACATATCAAATACATCATGACAGAGCATGCTACTAACCTGCTCATGAACTTGTACCGGCGGGGCAGGTAATAGATTTTTCTCCTGGAAGAACAGCAAAAATGAAGCCAGTCGAGAAGAAAACCCATCGTCAGTTACAGTTTGAACTAGCAAGGAAGGAAAGGAGATTGAAGATAGAAGCCTGTAAGAGGTGAAGAAGAAAAAACTAAAAAGAGATTAACAGTGAGAAATGTAGTGGGAACATAGGGCATGCATTTGAGTCATGAAATCTTATGAAATACTGTCCATTGATATTTCTTCATCTCATTATCATAATTTTTTTTTTTTTTTTTTTTTTTTTTTTTTTTTTTGTCACTCCTTGCCTACATAGCCAGTGCAGAGCAATGATTTGGAGCAATTGGTATTTGTATGAATTTAGCTGAGGTCAGCTTTTTTTCAAAGAATGAAGAAATAGATTGCCAGCTGGCTGGCAACATGTACAATTTAATGGAATACTATTATATTAACTAATATTTACAGAGCACTTTAGTTTACAGAACCCTTCTTTCCTTTGATATAGGCAGGGTAATATAAAAAGGTGTATTTTACAACCAGTATGGGAAGAACACTAATCAGGATCAACATCCTGCTGCAAATAACCACACTAGTGAATACTACCTAAACACTGGCCCTAATATAGGTGAGTTAAATAGATAAAACAAAGAATCTTGGAAAAAATCTGTTAAAAGTGAGACTCTATTAAAAGTGAGACTGAGACAAACCGCAAGAGACTCTTAATCTCACAAAACAAACTGAGGGTTGCTGGGGGGAGGGGGGATCAGGAGAGGGTGGTAGAGTTATGGACATTGGGGAAAGTATGTGCTATGGTGAGTGCTGTGAAGTGTGTAAACCTGGCAATTCACAGATCTGTACCCCTGGGGCTAATAATACATTATATGTTAATAAAAAAATTAAAAAATTATAAAAAATGTGAGATTGTTAAGGGTGTGTTGTACTTCTTTATATCTACATTTTTAAAGCATTACAGATTAAAATTTAGGATGTAATTTGGATGGGGAGCGTATGGATTAGATATTTTTAAAAAATTGCAGTCATCCTTTCCATAGTTTGGGCTTCCACCAATGGAGTAGTAATGAGACTGATGTGGTTTATATGTATTCTGATACTGAGCTCTCTCACTTATGGAAAATGGGAAGTCTACATACAACTTTCTTTGTATATCTGTGAAAACTTAAAAATATATTCATGTTTTTAATAGGTAAAACAATGGAGACAATAAGAAGCAGTTGTTGTTAGGGGTTTGTTCTGGGGTGGGCAGCACAAGGGATGGACAGATGAAATTAGGGCAGTGAAATCATTCTGTGTGACACATAATGGTGGATACATGATATTATGGATTTCTCAAGACCCACAGAACTATACAACTCAAAGAGTGAACCCTAAACTAAACTATAGACTTTAGATAATAATAATAATACATCAACTTTGGTCCATTAATTGTAACAAATATACCACATTAATGCAACATGGTAACAATAAACTGTGAATGGGGTGAGAAAGGATATATGGGAACACTGTACTATCAACTCAAATTTCTATAAACTTAAAAATGCCCTAAAATTAGTCAATTAAAAAGAGTCCATATCCATGGACATCAGGTATTTAAGAAGCAAATTTTGTTTACAACTTCCCATAAGAAAATTATTCTTCAACTTTGTTTCAAACATTATAGGAATAAAAATCCAAAAAGACTAAACCTGGGATTCAAAAGTGTAATCTACAGAAAAAAATAAATACACATAACATTCTTTGAGGCATCTACATGTAGCCAACTGATATTTGTACATTTTGTTGAAGTGATATGGCAGAAAAATTCCTCCTTTGGAAATACATAGATCTTCTTAGGCTACAGTTATTTATCTGAAACACTGGATAAAATAATAGCACACACTTTAAGTGCATCAGGTTGTAGCTAGTGAAGCTATGCTAAGGTAAAATCACATCAATATTTATGAGAGCAATTAGTGTCCACACATAAACAGTATTGTCTCCTAAAACTGTCCTGCAGAAACACCTACATTTAAAAAGAACATTATTCATACTTATTGTGGTTATCATTTATTCCCTGGATCACATTCTCTTAATAAGGGAAGTATTAATGTTGCTTGAAGGCAGCACTTCCTTGCTATGTAATGAGCATATAGGAGTGTTAGCTATGATACAGTCAGGCCCTTCATATATGATGTGCTTCCAGGTACAAGGAACTTGCTGTGCGTTAACACTCCTCAAGTTTGTACAGTCTGCTTGGGTTCTTGGCTTGAAAAGTGTGTTCTGGCGGAAGGTTTTGTGAGATTGCTAGGAGGGATAATGTATCGATTTCACTAAGTTTTACTATCACACTTACATCAGAATGTAGACTTTTGATTGTTGGTTATAAGATGTTGGTCTGATATATATGACTGTATCTAAGCACAGATTTCATTTTCCTTTTGGCTTTTATGTGTAATATAGCATTAATCCATAGTGGACAGTTATAGCATTGATAAATAACTGGCTTTAATTATAACTATAGTAAATAAGTCTCAATGGAAACTAAATTGATAAATGACTCAAGTGATTTTATATATTTTTTAATTCTTGGGCTCTCAGATTTCTTTGTTACATTTTAAATACAAAAATAAATCAAAAGTTCAGAACTATGGTTATCTCAATTCCCTTGAGAATTTTGCCTCAACATAAACAGATGCTAGAAATCCCAACCTGTATTTTGACTTGGTATTAGAATATAAAGGCCAATAAACAAAGAAAATAAGATACACCAGGGAGATACATTACAGACCTCTGAATGGAAATTGCCCTTCTCTAAATGTGTCCCTAGCGCCTCTCTGTCTCTATAATTTTCCACAGCTCATTAAGAGATATATTTTAGAATTGGCACCAGTTTGCCTGTCATCTGACTTGGTCTTATGGGCAAATTGTGAATCAAAAGTATTTAATTCTTTATTCCCGTTAGAACTGTCCTTAGTACTAAATCCCTCCATCTCCTTTAGAAGATTCCATTATTTACTTCCCACATATCTTAGCATTTATAATTTCAAGTTTAATACTTTAGCAAATGCAGATCACTTTTCCTTAATCTTTATGGAAAATATGAATATTCACTATGAGATGAAGGTAAATTAATCCTTTAAATAACTAAGCAATCCACATAAAGTATTTTCTAATTACCCTTGGGAAAAATACCAATGCTTGTGCTTGTACAGTATTTATGACCCGACTTTTTAAAAATTTAAAAATTTAAAAAATTTAAAAATTTAAAAATTATTTCAAAAGTGTATCACATTTTTATGAAATTTCTTGAATTTGCTTTATTGGAAGCAGATTTGAATGTCAGTAAAGACCTGTACCATTGATGTCTGGAGTATGGCCATTCAAAGCAGCAACACACAGGGCTTCTGAAAATGGCATTTTGGAAATGAAAATCCTACTTGGAAAATGCTCCTTTCTCACAGGCACTTGACATATCTACCTACTAAGGACTGAATTAGCCAGGAATTTTCACAAAAAGTCATGTAGTCATTAGAAGTCATGAAGACTTACACATTTCCTAAATATTTTAAGAATCCTCTCCAATACTATTCTAGTCTGCATTTCAGTTTTATTTGTTTCAAGAGAGGAGCATATTAGTTTTACAGGGAAGCAGCAGAGAGTAGGGAAATACATATTTACACCTACCTGAAAGGCATTCTTACATTCATTTGTTCTGCATATCTTCCAAGCACTTCCCATGGGGCATGCAACTTCACAAAGATAATGTCACTATTTATTAGAGAGGACTGAAACAGAAAAAAGAAACTAAATTGAAAAGTATATCCAAGTCTCCTATGGTTTAAATTGAATTGGAACTTAGAACACATGAACCTATATGGAGTTTAAGATTTGGGGCATTCTTCAGCAAAAAATTGGGTCCTTACATGTGCAACTAGTCATTCAAAAAATATACCACTGTGTGTCAGGCACTGGTGACCCAGCTGTGAACGAAAGAGATATGAATGGCATTTACATTCTGCAAACTTACAAGCAAAGAAAGAAATAAGCAAAAAAAGTTTAAAAGAAAGGGATGAATTCAGGTACTGATGAATGTTCTGAAGATAACAAAGTTAATGGGAGAAGTTATAGGGATGGGGTCACACACTACTTTGGGCAAGGGATTCAGAAAAGGCTCCTCTGCAAAGAGCACATTCAAATTTGAGACACAAAGGAGCCAGGGCTGGGGAAAAGCATGGGATGAGTGATCTAAGTACAAAGACCCTAAGCTGGGAAATTGCTTGATGTGTCTGATGTTCTAGGGGCACTAAGGAGAGCAGGGTGGCTGGAGTGTATACATCATGAAAATTAGCATAAGAGGCTAAAAAGGTAGGAGGAGTCAGTATGTGCAGTGCTTTACCAGCCCCAACAGGACAATTGGATCCTATTTTAGGAACACTGGGAAGTCATTTTGATTTAGGCTTTCAAAGATCACTATGGCTGCTGCATGGAGAAAACAATGTAAGGGAGGAGACCTGCAGCAAAATCAGAGAGAAGAGATGCTTTCAACGAACCAGGCAAAAGTCAAAAATTGGTGGTGGTGCAGAAGGAGGGACTTGATGTGAGTCTTAACTCTGGGTCAGTGTCAGGGAAAGCTTTTTCAAAGGACCGTGTTCTTTGGCCCAAAACTTTTGCCTCCTCTTGGGCTTTTAATCAATATAGCACATAGAGAGGGAAGTAAACTATGACTTTACATTTTATTTTTTAAGAGATTTTATTTATTTGAGAGACAGAGAATGAGCAAGGAACAGCGCAAGCCGAGGGAGGGCCAGAGGGAGACGGAGAAGCAGACTCCTTGCTGAGCAGGGAGCCTGATGTGGGACTCAATCCCACAACCCTGGAATCATGGCCTGAGCTGAAGGCAGACACTTAACCAACTGAGCCACCAAACCACCAAGGGCTTTGCATTTTAAGAACCACCCAAAAAGGCATTTAAAAACCACCCAACAAGGCCAAAGGGAATTCTCCAATTAGATTTTCTTTGGAAGTTATTTCCCAGGGGGAGGGCTGGGTTGTGGGAGGAGGTAGAAGAAAAATGAGAAAATAGTGAGCCAAACCAGCTTAAACCAGCAAAATTGACTATTATTTATCCATATCTTTTTCACACAGGCTCATTCTGGACTGCATGCCATTTAAATTTTTATAGTATAAGAATGTCAACAGATGTGTTAGGCTTTTGTGATTAACCTCTCCTTGTAACAGTATTCATAAACAATCCAATAGTTTCACACGCTGGCAAAAATAGAAGCCCAAATTTATGGGGTAAATTTGCACTATAGGGAATTGTTTTTAAATTCCAGATGATGTGCAATTGCAATTCATTGCTCAAATTCTCATTCAAAGTCCTCTTGCTGGGCTTATAAATATTGTACTTAATTTGTAAGAATTCTTCACGATATTATGAAAATCAAATTGGTATCAACTACAAACTTCCCAGGGACTCTGACAGGACTGAATTTCCCAAAAGGAGGAGGGCCTGGGCCCAAATCCACCATGGTGAAGGGCACCCTTTGATATTGATCTAAGAAACCAAACATTCTGGCAATTCAGGCTGAAATGAAGTTGTATATTCTAGCTTGGGACAAGCAGACCTCTGACTGTAAGTCTCCTAAAAACAAGGAAAGTTTCTGTTATTCACAGTAAAATCCTCTGGGTCTAGCACAATACCTGGTCCAGAGGGAGCACACAACCAATACTTTTCTAATTCAGAATATGGTTAGTGAAATGTGAACAGTTATTCCTGGCCCCGATGAAAGCTGTTTGTCCTGTGAAGCAAGAAGTAACTGCAGATGAAGTGACTCTTGGAGCCAACATATCTGGTAACTGCAAATGAGGAGCCCATCCAGAGCACAGACAAGCTGAAGAGCCCATCCAGAGCACAGACATCACCGAAGATGTGATGGACCAGTGCTGGGTCTCTTTGAATGAACTGGTTTTCTATTTAGTAACTCATTATATCCAATCCTTTCTATACTGGGTGCTTAGAGCTTTGTACCCAGGGTGAGTGTGAATGAGCTCACAGGTGTCAGTGTCCATACAGAACATGGAGAAATAGCACACACCCACGAAAATCTCCATCCTGTCCCATTCATGTCTGCAGATGCAGATCTGAGATGGTCTCAGCTTGTAAGTTGAGTATTTTTCGGAAAATATTGACACTTGTTTTCCAATATATAGTATAGTTATCTAAGTTATAAAACAAAAGAAAGACTTTATTTTCTTAAAAATAAAAGGATCTTATTGTTTATATTAAAGACATACTTTAGAGTCTGGGAAGGTTTTGTGGCTCTCCCACATAAAAATGTTAATTGTGTAATGGGAATTTAAACTCAGATTTCCCACAAGATTCTACATTCACTTGTTCTTTCTTCTCTCATCTTCCTATGATACCAGAGGGAAACTGTACAACAAGGAATATGGGAACGTGAATGATTCACAGACTCAACTGAACTATGACTTATAGCAGAATATCATCTTAGGATATACTCTCTCCATGAAATTATTGTAATTGCTAGGTTTACAGTAAGTAAATACAGTAGAAGACAAATCATTTTGTATATCTCCATGAGTATATGAAAACATTAAAGAGAAATCATTAAAATATTTCTACTTAGGGCACATTTTAAATGCTACAGTTCTGTGCGTGGAAAAGCCAAGTTCATTATCTGAACACACACAAAATCAACTAAAATTCTAATGTGGTATCTCTTCCATTTTCTGCATAAAAGTATAGCTGTTTTGATTTATTCAGCATGATAAAAATAACTTCATTTTGCTTATTTCAATTATAACAATAATTATAAAGCCATCACTTTACTATTATCTTCCAGACCTTTGTAATTTGGGAAGCACTTTGACATTGTTACCTCATTTTATTCCTACATAAACCTTGTAAGAGAGGCTTTTTCTTTCAATTTCTTAGAGGCGGAGAGAGAGAGAGTGGCCAAGTAATTCACTCATAGCCAAACTGAACATTTATCCCAGATACAGTTAACACTCACATCCCTTGGCTCCCTTGTCAATTCTACCTAATAAATTCTGAGGTTTAAATAAATCCATGGCTTTGTACATACATTGAAGATACCTAATTTCTGAACTGTTCTTTTATTAGTTTATAAAAAATAAACTGAGTTCTATATCTTAGAAAACAAAGCAACAAAAAGGAAGCAATATTAAGCTATTAAGAATGGAAATTTTATTTGAGACAATTAAAAGTTATTTTTATAATCTTGAGAAAATGTTAGCTGAATTCCCTTTGATGACAATGGATGTCTATTCATAGGCTGTGTGTGTGTAACTTATTACTTGCATTCAATTTTTTAAGGAGGAACTGAACTTCAGCCCAGAAAAATAAATATGAAACAGATTACTGCTAATTATACGGCTCATATATCACTCTTTTCTCTACCACTGAATGATTACACTACATTTCTAAATAGGTTTTTCCTCATTATTAAGCATTCCTTTCCACATAAATCCAAGGGTGCAAGTGACAAAGCGAAGAGAAATGAAAATGATTTTTGGAAACAGAGTTTCATTAATATCCCATCCCTCAGGTTAGAAACATGGGAAGAAGAAAAATGGCCAGTTAGAGGAGTTTAGAAAACATCCTGAGAAATTAAGAAGTAGAATGGAAACTACCTGCAGTAGAAATAGATAACATTCACAGAAAACATTCCTTCTTTCTTTCCTTCATTCAACAAGATCCTTTCAACACCTTCTAGGCACTTGATGCTAGGAATGCAGGATAATATATGTCCTGGTCTTTGCCTGGGTATGCCATGATTTAGTAAGGGAAGGTTAGATCAAGCAATAGCAAGGAAAAGAAGAAATATCATGCCATTTTCTAATTCAGGCCATCTCTCTAAGACACATGTATGTGGATGTACACATATTTACATCTCATGACCCCTGATACCATTGCTGAGAAGGAGATGCTGCTGGAGTGACAGGTTTGGAAGTGGGGGATAGAGAGAGAGCACAAACTCAATTTTGGAAATGTTAAGTTGCTGTTACCTATGAAAAGATGCCTGTGGGTAGTTAAGATAAATTAGTCTGGAGTGCAGGGGAGCAGTCTGGGCCAGAGATATAAAGCAAGCATGGCCAGGACATAGATGGTATTTAAATCTATGGGATTTGAAGAGGTCACTTTGAGAGCCAGTGTAGGGCTACATGGGTAGTTGAACGTCAGAGGTTAATTTAAGAATGCAGCCCCTGCATTTGAATCTTTGGAGTAAATACCTAGTAGTCCAATTTCTGGGTCATAAGGTAAGTCTATTTTTAATTTTTTTAGGAACCTCCATACTGTTTTCTAGAGTGGCTTCACTAGTTTGCATTCTCACCAGTAGTGTAAGAAGGTGCCTGCACCCCAATGTTTATCGCAGCAATATCCACAATAGCCAAACTATGGAAAGAACCCAGATCCCTATCCACAGATGAATGGGTAAAGAAAATGTGGTATTTATATATAATGGAATATTACTCAGCGACCAAAAGGAATGAAATCTTGCCATTTGCAACAACAAGGATGGAACTATAGGGTATTATACTAAGTGAAATAAGTCAGTCAGAGAAAGACAATTATCATATGATTTCTCTCATATGTGGAATTTAAGAAACAAAACAGATGAACATAGGGAAAGGGAAGGGAAAATAAAATAAGACAAAATCAGAGAGGGATATAAACCATAAGAGACTCTTAGCTCTATGAAACAACTGAGGGTTGCTGTGGGGGATGGGGTAACTGAAG